GGCAAGCCCAAGGTGGCAGCTAGGCAGCATTGTCTGAAGTAGCCTTGACCTTCCTCTTCACTAACATTCCTCGTATCGGAGGCTCTTTACTGGGGCGTGGGATAAGGAACAGTTTTGCCGTTTGGGGGTTTGTCCAGAGGCCTTTTAAGGAGGTGCATCTATGCACACTTATCTTGCATCTATGGGGTTCGGGCAGATCCCTTTCAGGTCTCTGTATTTCTCTAGTGTTAGTCTGGCTTTGAGCGTTAGCCTTCCTACCTGTCCTCTTTTGTCAACTGTCTCCTGACTGCCAGCCCCCTAGCTTCGTGGCGTGGTGGCTCAAGGCCGACCTGTTCTTACTGTAGAGGTCGGGAGGGAAGAGATGAGGAGCGCACGATAAACCGGAGGACACTTTTTTCGTTTCTCAGGCCTCCACCCCCAAATTACTTGCAGGCCTTCATATTGGGGTCGGGATGAACGTGAACCAGAGAAAGCATCTGGGGATGCAAAGGAGACACAGGCAGAAGCTTAGCAAGGAGAAACGCGGAGAGACTAAGGCGGGAGACTCCCTAGGGAGCAGGGTCGCCTAAGTCGCTGATGGAAGTGAGGGAGGATCGTGCAGGCTCTGACAGCCCAGCCCAGCTGAGGCCCCCTGGTTTCCTGTCTCTCTTCTCAGATTGTCCTCCTGACTTTCTGGGACACTTCTGCCCAGGAACTCGTCTCTGTCAGTCTGTCTCCATCTGTGTGTCTCATGCCGGCGTCTCAGCCACTGTCCGTGGGTCTTTCCATCTGGTCTCCAGCTCACCCTCTCCGCTTGGCTATGGGTGGACCGTGCGCTCAGCGCCCCTCCCCCTGTATTACTATTGGTGGAGAGGTGGCGGGAAGGCGGTGTCTAGCCCGCCGATGAGCATCCTATTGGTCGCAGGGACCGAGAGGCGGGCCGGAGGTGGGTCCGGCCAGGAGGCGGGCGGGGCGGCTGGGGCCGAGCCCAGAGCTCCGGGCGGTCGCATTGTTTTCCTCCGCGGATCTGCGGCGGGAGTAGGGGCTCCCACTCGGACCCAGGACTCTCATAACCCGACAGCGCCCTGGAGCCTAAACCCAAGCACCATCCAGACGGGACGCTAGTCGCATCTCGCCCGAACCCCAAACACGGATTGCGAACTCTGTGCGGTGCGGAGCTGGGGGCTGCCTGCTGCTCCCTGGATCTCGCTGACCCGGATCTCGGAGCAAGTACCCTGGGGTAGGGATGTAGCTGCAGGGAGGGGCAGGAGCGCCGCAAGAGGGGGTCAAGCTTCTGAGTGTCACGGAGACTCGAGTGTGTTCAGCGTGCCTTGCGCCTGACAGAGAAAGGGTCAGCGGACTTAGGGTGCTTGGAGGAGGAGGGGACCGTGGCCGAGCCTAGATGCTCTGCTGGGTGCAGGGTGTAAGCTTCTTTACCGACTGGTAGCAGTCCCGCCCCTCTAGACTGGGGGTCGCGAAAGGGGATATTTTCTTTTTCTGAGGCGCGCATGATGCGGAGGGTGGAAAGCCCAGCATCTTGCCTCTCCCGCGGGAAACTGAGGCTCCGGGACCTGAGGAGAAGTAGACCTGCAGGAATAGGAAAGCGGACAAGTCGTTCTGGACTTTGGTGTCAGGGTTGCTTCTTCGTCCTTGTGCAGGCTGGAGTCTGAGCACTCCCAGGGGGAGGGGTCAGCTTGGGCAAAGAGTCCAGGAGTGGGGCCACGGAGAAGCATCAGTCCCCGCGCCCACCTCCACGCTTCACCTCACTCCTCCCGGGGCTTTGTTAGACTGGCCTCCCACGGAGGAGAGTGGGCCTGGCGACAGCATCCTAGCTCACCTACCAGCTCCGCGCGGGCCTAGGGCCCGCCCTCGGCGGTTCCCAGCCTCTGGCCCTGTTTCCCTGGTCTGGGAGACCCGCCTCCGTCCCCCAACCCCAAATCCATCCCCACTCGGTCTGCGCCTGCAGGCCCCTCCAGCCCCTCCTCCCGCTAACGTGGCTCTGGGACCCGGTCCCGGTCCAGACGTTGCTACCCGCCCCTCCTCGGAGCCCCGGAACCAGTGAGGGGGAGACACGTCGAGCCCCTGGCCCTAGGCCCACCTCACGCTAAGCGCTCGCGAAGCTCCGGACACCTGGTTTATCCACATTGGGGGGTGGATCGGAGGGAGGGTAGGTACAAAGCCTGGAACTGAGAGGAAGGGTAGGGTGAAAAGGTTTTTGAGGCTCAGCATACCCCTGAGCCTCCTGAGGAAGGTGGGCTGGGGCGGGAGACCATGCCTATGGTTTCCTGCTATTGTCCCCGGCCGGCCTCCCAATCCCTTCCCTAGTTCCTCTAGACACCGGCTATGACCTCGGCCACTCCCCAGAGGTGGCTGTCTGGCTAAGGGGAAAAAACGGGGCATGTTTCATCTTTCAATCAAGGGGAGGACCCAAAAGGAAAATGAGTGGCCAGGTCTCTCCTTGGGATTTCTCCAGGTCACAGCACGCCTGTCCCCAGGCCAGGGATTGGATGGGAGCCACCCAGATGTTGCTCCCCCAAACAGCTATGGGAAGCCCTCTTAAAGATGTATCATCCTTGAGTCTAGTGGGCCAAGGAAAAGGCCAACCAAGTGTTTTTAGAGGCTGGACTAACCCAGCTTAAAGTGAGCGAGTGTGGGGGTCCTTAGTGAGACAGGTTAGGTGGGAGCTAGGCACGGTTTGCTCTCCGAGGAAGGAAGGGGATGAAGGTACTTGCTATCAGAGCCTTTTGCCTGAAAATGAAGAGCATGCAAATTAGATGCAAATTAGCCTCTATTGTCCCTAGCTAGGGCGCTTTTGCAGGGAGGCTCTTGGATTCTGAAGGTTTTAACATGGGAGTGGCCATCAGCCCCACAACTCGCAGACAACCTTTTCCCAAGACTGGCCCTGCAGTTCTAGGAGTTTCTGGCTAAAGGCCAAATGCTACCCTCGTATCTTCCGGTGCAAAGCCGTCCTCATTTTGTGACCAAACAAAACGGTCCCCCAATAGTATCTCCCCCACACTGGCTTCAACAGCTTTTTCACAAATTCGCACATTTACTCTTATAGGATGTGTAAGGGAGATGTGATTTCCCCCCTTCTTTTGTCCCTTCTTCTCTAGATCAGAGGGCTCCTATCCCCCTTCATCCCCCACAGGACCCACCACCCCAGGTAAGGAGAGGAGAGCAGGGGATAGAAGCAAACTCCACAGGGGGCCAGGACAAGGGTCTAGATGTTCTCCCCACTTGCCAGAAACCAAAGTTGTTTCCAGGGTGAAGATAGCAGTTGCCCAGGGCAACTTGAGGGGGGGCAGGTAGGAGCGCATAGAAGACAAGCTGTGTCCCTTTCTCTTCTCTAGGGAGTATCACCAACCGGAAACATGGGTTGGAGGAGGGAGGAGGATCTGGTCTTTCAGTGGAGGGGTCCTTAGCTAGCTAACTGCTCTGCCTCTGGGGAAAGGGGGAGGTCATACCTTGTCCCTTCCTCCAGCTCTCTTGGGGCCCCACCTGACGTCAGCCTCCCCACCAGTGACGCTTGATTGGGCTTGGGTGGACACTTGGGTCCTGGCTTTGAGTGGCATTGTTGGGGAGATGGAAGAAGGCTTGTGAGCCCAGAGTTTCTCCTTTAGAAGACTTGGAATGGACCACTAAGGCTTATTGTCGGTCCCAAAAGAAAGGGCTCCCAGCTCCCTGACTTGACTACTGGAGCCTCTTCAGCCCCTCACTTCAATGTGATGGGAAGGCAGGAGGCTTGTGTGTGCCACCTCCAGTGGGCCCAGGCAGGGGCAGCTGTCTGGGGTGGGCTGGTGGTGGGAAGGAGACCCGTCTCACCGCTCCCTTCGTCATAGTCATCTTTTCTTGGACTTTGGGCTACAATTGCCTGTCATTGAATTATTTATATTTCAATTTCAGAGGCAGCCTGATGAGGGAAGAAGGGGAAAGCGGGGCACGTTCAGCCATTTCTCCTCACCCGTCCTTTCTGTCCTTCGCTCTGCAGAGGGGGTGGGTCTGCTCTTCTCCCCTCACTGAGAAAGAACGTGCATTGGTTCTTAGGAGCCCGGGAGGCAACAGGGGGCTCCAGGCTGGGAGGGGGCACAGTGGTCGAGGAGACAGCTGCAGCCAGAGCTAAATTTAGCCTCTGATCTGGCTTTCATGCAGATTCATTTTTGGCTAAGACAGCCCCTCCACGAACACCCCACTCCCTCCCTCCCCAGCTTCTTCCTCAGCAGTGGGAATGGCCCCTTAAGTATGAGCTTAGGCCAGGTCAGTGACCCCCAGGCTGTTTGTCCCTCTCCTTCTGTTCTTTCTCAGTCCTAGACAGGCCCATGGCTGCTGCACAGCTGCCTCTGCCTGGGCTCAGTGCCTGCATTACTCCCAGGGTGCTGTGGGGGTCTGGGAGGGGAGGGGAGAGCAGACTTGGTGCCCTCTTCCTCCTCCTCGTGCCAAGGAGTCACTATTTAGAATTTTAAGGCGTCAGGGTCTAATTATAGCCCAGAAGGAGTTAGCACAAGGGGGGCCGGGAGCTGTCACCTACCGAATGTCCCAGACCCAGGCAGGAGAGAGGAAGAAAGGCTGGGAGGGGCAGCAGATCTGTTCTGTCCTTACCTGGGGTCACACCGGCAGGCTTCACACCAGCCAGTTTGGGCCAGTTGGAGAGGGAAAGGCCTTGATTGACAGGGACAGCTGGGAGTGAGGCAGAGATGGTTCTTTGCCCCACCCCACAGGGTCTTCTGGGGATAGACCTGGGGAGGAGTCTGCCTGCAACAAGGCTAGAGAGAACTTAGTCCCTTCCCCCACTTTTCTGTCTCCCCTTCCAGAGCCAGCGTATGGGTGAGGGGGTACCCCCTGGGGCTTGAGCTGCCCCGCACAGGATGCCCCGTGCCCCCCACCCCATGCCCTTGCTGCTGCTGTTGTGGCTGTCACTCCCCCATGCCCAGGCTGCCTTTCCCCAGGACCCCATCCCTCTGGTGACCTCTGACCTGCAAGGTGAGTACTTCACCCACTTGACACTCAGGAGGGGTGGGTAGAAGATGAGACCCCTGTGTGGGAGGTAAAGTGTAGGAAGGGAAGAGAATGGCCAAGCGAAGGGGAGTGAGCTGGTCCCATCCCTGGGTTTTGCTTCCTCACTCAGAGGTGGTGTTGCTGTGTGGCTAAAAAAAACCATGACCCTACTGAGTGAGGTGCAGGCTTACTGTCCCAGCGCTTGGGAGCTTGAGGGAGGAAGACTGTAACAAGTTTGAGGACAGCCTGAACTAGGTAGAGAGTTCCAGGTCAGCCAGGATTACTTGGCAAGACTGTCTCCATCAGGCAAAGGAGCCTAGGAGGAATGGAAGGTCTGAGCCAGACCAAACCGGAGCAGGTTTGAATCCCTACTCAGGTGCTCACTAGCTGTGTGACCTAGGTTCTTTCTCTAACCTTTCTTTGCCTCAGTTTCCACATCCGTAAAAGGAAGATAATCATAGTGCGCTACCTCACGGAGTTATTTAGAGACTGACTGAGGGAACAGATTCAGCACTAACGAGGTGCAGCCCTGAGACACCGTCTGGCCCGAATTAAACACTTTATATTTGTGTGTTATTCTTAGCTACAGCGTGAAGTCCTGGGCCAGGTCAGTGGTTCCCAGCTTTTCCTTCCCTCGCTACCCACCAGTGAGCCAGGTCTCACCATGACAGAAACTGTAAACCCAGTTTTTCTGAGAAGAATCTTTACCTGTTTGGGGTCTGTGTTCTACATGTTGGATTTAGAGTACTTTTAGTTGAGTTATTGGAATGATTGTTGGGAGATAGAGAAGAATAATAGCAAACACGACTGGGTGGTGGAGGTGCACGCCTTTAATCCCAACACTCAGGAGGCAGAGGCAGGTGGATCTCTGTGAGTTTGAGGCCAGCCTGGCCTACAAGTTCCAGGACAGGCTCTAAAGCTACTGAGAAACCATCTTGGGGGGAAAAAAAAAAGAATACTAGCAAACTTGAGTTGGGCAGTGGTGGTGCACGCCTTTAATTCTAGTATTCGCAAGGCAGAGGCAGGTGCATCTCTGTGAGTTCAAGGCTAGTTTGGTCTACAGAGTGAGTTTCAGGACAGCCAGGGCCACACAGAGAAACCGTCTCAAAAAAAAAAAAAAAAAAAAACAACCAAAAACAAAGTAAACAAACAAACAAAAATAGCAGACTGCATCAGGTGGGTTCTCAGTACTCTGTTAACATCAAATCATCTTTGAGCCTGGTTTCCCCCTAAACACCCATACCTGTGGCTTCCATGACCAGACCAGGTGGACAGTGGGATTGGTCAGAGGAGGGAGGAACTTTGAAGGGTGACATGGGGACGAATCTGGTGGGAGGACTCAAAGAAGAAGAACCAATGCTTTAATTATTCGCATGTGCAGGTACTGTTGTGTGACAAAACTCTTCCTGGGGAGACAAATGCTTGTCTAACTCACCCCAGATACGCAGCCCACGACAGACCAAAGTACGGACGTTACCAAAGTCAATGAGTTTTACTGGGGTCACTTACAGGAATATGGGTGAAGGGCTACAGGAGCAGAAATGACTCAAAGACAGCTGCATCACCAAAGCCCACCCCAGCATGGGTGACAGCTCAGAAAAGCTGGGAACCTGGAGCTCACTGCACAGCCTGCAGGTAGCTCAGCAGGTTGGAGAGCATCCTCTAGGGGTCCTCAGTTGGTCTCTTCCAGGCAGTCTGGCTGGTGTCTGCTTCTTGCAGGAGGCAGTTGGTGTGGTCTCAAAGGTTTTTGTTTGTTTGTTTGTTTTCCTTCTTCTCTGAGAATCTTCTTTGCAGCTCAGCTTCGCTTCCTCTGAGGGGGCCTCTCAGCTTTTATTGTTTATTCTGGCAGGGAGGGTCTTAGTGAATATGGTCAGTTTCAGGGAGTTCTTGAATTTTTTTTTTTTTTAGTTATGTATTTCCTTGGGTAAGGGGTTCCCCTGCAGGATGGAATGTTGTTTGATCTCATGGAGGTCAGAGGAGGTAGGTTTTCTGGAGTTGGAGCTGAAGGTGCTTGTGAGTCAGTTGGTGTGCTTGCTGGGAATTGAACTCTGGACCCTAGAAGAGCATTGTATGCTCTTGACCACCAAACCATCTCCAGCCCCTTGAAAGGAACTTTCTAATACAGAGGTGGTCTGGCGTCAGTCAGACTTCATATATGCCCTGCTGCCTGCCTGGTTGTCATGTAAATACCTCCATATACTAAGCCTTGAATTGGGCCAGTGTGAAGTTAATATATTAATATGTCATATTAATATAGCTTAATATATTAAGCAAGGTGGATCAAATAACTCACAATATCTGGTGAAAATTAAATGCTCAGTAAGAGTTGATTTTGTATTTGTTTAACTTTTTTTTTTTTTTTTTCCGAGAGTTTCTCTGTGTAGTTTTGGAGCCTGTCCTGGAACTTGCTCTGCAGACCAGGCTGGCCTCGAACTCACATAGATCTGCCTGCCCAGTGCTGGGATTAAAGGTGTGCACCACCACCTCCGGACTTTAACATTTACTTATTTGGGGGGAGTGCACGTGCTATGGTGTATGAGTGGAGACTGAGGGTCAACTTGGGGAACTGGTTCTCTGATTGCACATTTGAACTCAGGTAGCCAGGCTTGGTTACAGGTATCTTTACCCTCAGAGCCATTTCATTGTTCCCCCTCCCCATTTCATTTCATTTCATTTCATTTCATTTCATTTCATTTCATTTCTTTATCTGGGGCCAGCATCTTGCCTTGTATACTGGTCTGGTACTTGCTATGCAACCATGGCTACCCTTAAACTCTCAGGGTCCTCCTGCCTCAGCCTCCCCATTGCTGGTCTGCACCACTGTACACAGCTTCTGGCATTGTTTTTATATGTAGATCTGGGGACTCTCTTCTCTCCTGCTCTGTTCACCGCTGGGTTTCCCTGGCAAGAAAGGGAGTAGGAAAGTGTGTATTATCTCGGCTGTCATCCTCTAGGTTCTTCTCCATTATCCTGGTTCCGGGGCCTGGAGGAGGATGCTGTGGCTGCAGAACTCGGGCTGGACTTTCAGCGATTCCTGACCTTGAACCGGACCTTGCTTGTGGCTGCCCGGTAAAATGGCCGCGGCACAGTTGTGGGGCAGACATGCATGCTCCTGGGCAGACATGGGACCTGCATGGCCACTGCAGCATCTTGCAGGGGACACATGCAGGTGCACAAGCCATGGGACACGGACATGCTTGGACTCAGAGAACAAGGCGTGGAGGAAGGGGGAGGCTAGGGAGCAGGAATTTGTGTGGCTTGGCCCTGAGCAGGTGAACATGGGTAAGCAGGGGACTGAGGCGCTCAGGCAGGCAGGGTGCCTCGGCTCAGCTCTGACCCCTCCTTACCTACCCTTCAGGGATCACGTTTTCTCCTTCGATCTTCAAGCCCAAGAAGAAGGGGAGGGGCTGGTGCCCAACAAGGTGAGGGGCTGTACGCGAGGAGGTGCAGGCAGGGAGACGAAGCTGGGAAAGGTGTATTGGGGGTCTCGTGGGTGAGAAAAGCGTCTAAGAAGGAGTCGTGATGTGAGGAGGGGTCCTGGTTGCCCCATGACTTCCCCTCGTTTTTTCTCTTCAGTTTCTGACATGGAGGAGCCAGGACGTGGAGAACTGTGCTGTTCGGGGAAAGCTCACGGTGAGGAGTGGAGCGGGTCGGAGGAGGGAAGGAAGGCAAGGAGGTTCAGAGACCAGTGAACTTGGTGGAGGCTAAAGGGCCAAGCAAACAGCCTGAGACTCTAGCCGCATTGCCATGACCGGCTCAAGACTGACGGCTACTGCCTCACTTCCTGTGGCCCCTAACTTCAATTCCACCCTTGTCACTAACCTTGAATTTTGGGTTTTCTAGGACGAATGCTACAACTACATCCGTGTTCTTGTTCCCTGGGACTCACAGAGGCTCCTTGCCTGTGGAACAAACTCATTCAGCCCCATGTGCCGCAGCTATGGGGTACAAAGGAAGAGGGCTGGGAGGAGAGCAATCAGTTTGCTGGGAAGAGATGGGCATCTGGGGGTGGGACTGGTATGCTTGGAAGGTGAGAGTGTGGAAGGGGCCAGGGAAGAGGCGCGGAGGAGTGGGCTGTGGGGCCACACGTCTGAGACCCCAAGGTTCTAGGAACCTGCCTCCTTTGCCCCCAGATAACTTCGCTGCAACAGGAAGGTGAGGAGCTGAGTGGACAAGCTCGATGCCCCTTTGATGCCACCCAGTCAAATGTGGCCATCTTTGCAGGTGTGCACCTGGGTGTGTGGCTGGAAGGCGTTCCTCTCCCAACTTGGTCTTTCCCTCATGTCCTTGAGTGGAGGGCGGTACGGGCCTGGGGAAGGGCCTGAGTTGCTGTGTGGGCACCAGTAAGAGACAAGCTGCAGGCCCTGAGCTTCCCCTGACCCCCACCCCTCCAGAGGGCAGTTTGTACTCGGCCACAGCAGCAGATTTCCAGGCCAGTGATGCTGTAGTTTACAGAAGCCTTGGATCGCAGCCCCCACTCCGTTCTGCCAAGTATGACTCCAAGTGGTTGCGAGGTCAGTCTTCCTGGGGGTCAGACTGCCGGGACGAGGGGGCACCAGGCCTGTGCGGGGCAGTAGCAGTGTGTTTGTGGATGGGTAGGAAGACGGTGCAGCATGAGTTTCTGAGCAGGTATGGATACCCTTTCCTGTCACCTTAGAGCCACACTTTGTCTATGCTTTGGAGCACAGAGACCACGTCTACTTCTTCTTCCGAGAGGTCGCTGTAGAGGATTCCCGGCTGGGGAGGGTAAGCTGTTGGACACCAGGGGTCTGGATCCTAAGAATGGTTCTTGTCTCTAATCTCCATAACAGATTCCTTAGATCTGACCCCTCCCCATGCCCTCTGCATAGACTTCAGCTCTCTCACCTATGACATCTGGCCATTCTCTCCCGAACTGACCTGCCGTACCGTTCCCTTGCTTTGCCTCCTGGAGCCCTCACCTCACAGCAGCTGCCGTGTGGCTTTCCTCAATCTTTCCTCAGGTGCAGTTTTCTCGGGTAGCCAGGGTGTGTAAACGCGACATGGGCGGCTCACCTAGGGCCTTGGACCGCCACTGGACTTCCTTCCTTAAGCTGAGGCTCAACTGCTCTGTCCCTGGGGACTCTACCTTCTACTTTGACGTCTTACAGGCCTTAACGGGGCCTGTGAACCTGCATGGCCGCTCTGCTCTCTTTGGGGTCTTCACTACTCAGACTAACAGGTGGGTACTAGGCTGTGTGATCTAGTTCTCCACCCCTACCAACATTCACACTCGCTTTTGATGCCTCCTGAGGAGGAAGCTCCAAGCAAGGCCAATCTGCTGTCCCCTGTGACTGTCCTGCCCACCGGTCTCTGCCTCTCAGCATGGCTCACAAAGGGCAGCCCACAGCTTACCTGCAGGAGCAGTCCCGCCCCTGTTAACACCTTGAATCTTTTCTGGCTCCCTCAGCATTCCTGGGTCTGCAGTCTGCGCCTTCTACTTGGATGACATTGAGCGTGGGTTTGAGGGCAAGTTCAAGGAGCAGAGGAGTCTGGATGGGGCCTGGACTCCTGTTTCTGAGGACAGAGTCCCCTCACCCAGGTACCCGGGATAGAGGTGACTGATGGGGCAGAAGCAATGCTCGTTCTTAATATTCGGCTGTGAGGAGGACTCAGGTCACTGTGGCCAGGACAGGCCTAGCACTGGGTTAGACTAAGGAGCTGCAGCAGGGAAGGGAGCAGGTGCCGCAGCGTGTGTTTGCAGGGCAGTGACGGTTACCAACCACGTTTGAGAGTGGGGGGCACATAGCTTCATTAACCCCGTTCTCTGCCCTAAGGCTGCCCCTTCCCATGTGCTCACCAGGCCAGGGTCCTGTGCAGGTGTGGGTGGAGCTGCCTCGTTCTCCTCCTCTCAAGACCTACCTGATGCTGTCCTGCTCTTCATCAAGGCTCACCCACTTCTGGATCCCACTGTGCCACCTGCGACCCACCAGCCTCTCCTCACTCTCACCAGCAGGTAACCAGAGATAAGCCCCATTGGCGTGGGGGTGGAGCTTGTGAAGGAGCAAGAGTGGGGAGCAGGCATCTGGTCCGGCTCTCCTGGCTATGCTTTCCTCACCTGAAGCCTGTCGCTGCAGGGCTCTGCTGACCCAGGTAGCTGTGGATGGCATGGCTGGGCCGCACAGAAATACTACAGTCTTGTTTCTTGGCTCCAATGATGGGACAGTGCTGAAGGTGCTACCTCCAGGGGGACAGTCTCTGCGACCTGAGCCTATCATACTGGAAGAGATTGATGCCTATAGCCCTGCCCGGTGAGTTCTTTGTGGGGCAGAGGTGGGATGGGGGAATAGGTTGAGCACTCCAGTGCTGGTTTGGCAGAATCAGAGGCCTTGAGGTAGGGAAAGGGTTTGGTGAGAGAGCTCTACTGGGCTGGGGAGGGTGCTTCCATAGGGTGAGCCCAGGTCTTCTGGGCACTTCTCCTCCTGTCTCTTCTCACCCAGACCCCATTCCTATTAGGTGCAGTGGGAAGCGCTCAGCCCAAGCCTCACGGCGGATCATAGGGCTGGAGCTGGACACCGAGGGTCACAGGCTCTTTGTGGCCTTTCCTGGATGCATCGTCTACCTCCCTCTCAGCCGCTGTGCCCGGCATGGGGCATGTCAGAGGTGAGGAGCCCAAGGGCAGATGCTGCCTGGCTATGCTTCCTGGGCGGGTAGGAGCACAGAAAAATCCCCAAGTCTTGAGGGTGGCAAGGAAATGGGGATAGTGAAGTTGGGGTACCCTGGGGAGTCTGAGGGTGGGCAGCAGCTGGGGTCTGGAGCAGACTGGGGTGGGGTGGATGGGTGGAGTGTGGGGCTGGGAGTATCCTGTAAGGCAATGGAATAGACTGTGTAAGCAGAGGGTGCCAGCCTCACTCAGCTCAGTTTCCCTTAGGAGCTGTCTGGCTTCTCAGGACCCATACTGTGGGTGGCATCGACTGAGAGGCTGTGTGAGCATCAGGGGACCTGGTGGGTAAGTGAGGAGCCCCTGGGACTCGTGAGGAGAGGGGCAAAGCGTAGAGCCACAGTAAGCCACCTCCCTTTCCTTTTAGGACTGATGTGGATGTGACTGGGAACCAGGAATCCACGGAGCACGGTGACTGCCAAGGTAACCACGAGGGCGGGCTGCAGCCACAGCTGCGTATTCTCTGAGGGCCAACAGCATCTTGGGCTTGGGCATCTGTCTTTCTCGGCATCTGTTCCAGTTGCTTCTACCACCTTTCCCTCATTCTCACTGTCTCATAGATGGAGCTACTGGGAGTCAGTCTGGCCCTGGGGATTCTGCTTATGGTGAGTCTTCCGGCCTCAGTTTCCTTTTTCCTTGCGTAGCCCACACAACCAAATCTGTCTGGGCTATAGGCAGGCCAGCATCCTGAACAGACACTGGAATTCTGGACTTGTGTTCCAAAGGGGAGGGGCTTGGTGGTGTCAAGGGTGGAGAGCAGAAGTCTCACTGGCACTGACCTGGTCTCTGTTACCAGTGCACCTGGGTCCTGGCCCTTCCCTTGAGACCCCCAGTTCCCCCAGTGATGCCCACCCAGGGCCCCAGTCTTCCACTCTTGGAGCTCACACGCAGGGTAAGGGGGTTGCCTGGGAGGGACCGAGTGCAGTGTGGACCTGTTGAGGCTGAGAATTCTAAGCCGGGTGCTGATTGGTGTTTGATAACCACTAACACCTGTTTGGAACCGCCCTTCACCACAGCTGGACATCCCAGCCAGTGTCCTGCACAGGCAGGGTGGCAGATGTGCCTGGCATGGCTGCAGGGGCTAAAACTGGGCAGGGACTACCCCAGACCCGTGCTCTAGCCTGTGTGTTTAGGGATCCTGGGAAAACGACTCCTGAGACTGAGTGGAGCGAAGCTGAGCAGCAGCAAGAGAACTTGTGGTTGGCCCCACCTGTGTCCCTTCCGTGCGCCTAAAGCTGAGCCGCCTCCCTCCTTCTTGGCCGGCAGGCGTGCGCAGGGACCTTTCCCCAGCTTCAGCCTCCCGCTCCATCCCCATCCCACTCCTCCTGGCCAGCGTGGCGGCGGCCTTCGCCCTGGGCGCCTCAGTCTCCGGCTTCTTGGTGTCCTGTGCTTGTCGCCGAACGCGTCGCCGTCGGAGCAAGGATGTCGAGAGCCCGGGGCTGCCGCGCCCCCTCTCCCTCCGCAGTCTGGCCCGGCTGCACGGTGGCGGTCCTGAGCCCCCGCCTCCGCCCAAGGATGGAGATGCTGCGCAAACGCCCCAGCTCTACACCACCTTCCTACCTCCGCCCGACGGCGGACCCCCACCGGACCTCGCCTGCCTGCCCACCCCCGAGTCCACGCCCGAGCTGCCGGTGAAGCACCTCCGTGCCTCCGGGGGGCCCTGGGAGTGGAACCAGAACGGGAACAACGCGTCGGAGGGCCCCGGCCGCCCGGCGGGCTGCAGTGCGGCGGGCGGGCCCGCGCCGCGGGTGCTGGTGCGGCCGCCCCCGCCGGGCTGCCCTGGGCAGGCGGTGGAGGTGACCACGCTGGAGGAACTGCTGCGCTACCTGCACGGCCCGCAGCCGCCCAGGAAGGGCGCCGAACCGCTCGCCCCGGCCGCCTTCAGCTCGCGGCCGCCCGCCCCGGCCCCCAGCCCGCTGCCGCGGGACTGCGTGCCGCCGCTCAGGCTCGACGTGCCCCCCGAGGGCAAGCGCGCGGCTCCCGGCGGGCGGCCCGCCCTCTCGGCCCCGGCGCCGCGCCTGGGCGTCGGCCGCAGGTTGCCCTTCCCCACGCACCGCGCGCCCCCGGCGCTGCTCACGCGGGTGCCCTCGGGGGGCCCGGCTAGGTACTCCGGGGGGCCCGGGAGGCACCTCCTGTACCTGGGCCGGCCCGACGGCTACCGCGGCCGCTCCCTGAAGAGGGCGGACGCGAAGTCCCCGCTGACCCCCAAGCCACCCCTCGCCGCCTCGACGCCGCCCGCGCCGCACGGCGGCCATTTTAACTTCTGACGGAAGCTGCTAGCGCCGGTGCGGGCGCCGGAGGCCCAGGCCCGCGATGGCCGTCGGCCTTCCCGGACTCCGAGAGTCTCCCGGGGCCCGCTCTCGCCCCGGTTTATTTATTGACTGTCGTTCCCCTGACCCGGCGAGGCCAGTGAGAGGCCGCGACCCGGCCGCCTCCCACTCCCCGCTCCCTCCCTTCCAGCCATGCTGCCTTAACTCGCCGCCCCGGGCTCCCGCGGACAGGGCCCCGGGCGGGCCGGCGGGGCTGGAGCCGCGCCTGTGTACAGGGTCCTCGGGCCTCCTGGGCCGGGACGTACCGCCTCCTACTGTGTAGGAGCCCCCGCTTCCCAATACAGCCATGTCCGCCCCCCAGCCGCTGCCTGACTTTTCTCGCGGAGCGGGAGGGACAGGAGGGCGGGCCGCCCGGCCCTCTGGGTGCCTGTGCCCCTGAATGTCTGCCCCCGCCTCACCTCGGCCCCCAGGTCTCTCCGGAGTAATTGGCTTGGCGGCTGTCCCACCGGGGTTAATCAGGAAAGGTTTCCTGCAGGAGGCAAGAGAAGACATGGTGTGTGGGGATGAGGCAGGGCCCAGGAGAGCCAGGGTACCGTTGGGGATGCGGCGGAAGGCGCTCAGCAGGTTTCTGAATAGAGGGCAGGCACCTTTTCACGGCCTACACTATGGGGTGGGAGAGGGAACTTTTGGAGAAATAAAACGAAGCTGCTGCGTGATTTGAATTTCACATCAGCACATCTTGTCCTGAAGAGAACTTGGGCTAGGTGTTTGGGGCACTTGGGCCTGCAAAACAAAACAAAACAAAACAAAAATACTGGCCAAAGATGAGCCCTGTTAGAAGAAAGGGTTTGCCCCATCTGTTTCCCTGTGGGGCAGCCTCAGCTGCAGGCTAGCCCAGGGCTGGAGCGACTAGCGTGTGCCCGTCTCGAGGCTCCCTTGCACTGGCTGCAGGTACCCGCACAGTACCCTGAGTACCAAAGGGAAGGATGGCCCGGAACGCTTGTCCCACCCACCACCCTGGCGCAAAGAGCAGTAAGGCCTCTCGCGGGTGCTGGCTGAGCTGGAGGATTTGCAGATCTGGAACTTGGCAGGCGCGTGGCGGCAGTGTCCACCCTGCTGCGGCTCCCGGCCACTTTCCGTTGGCGCCTCCTAGAGGTCCGCCGGAGCCCTGCGCTGAATCAGCCGCCAGGTCTCTAGTTGCTTTCTGCTTCTTGAGAACTATTTGGCCAAGAGTTCTGGGTGTTTGTTTACCTCTTCACCTTTACCCTTGAGATCCTAACTCTGCCTTAAGCCTGCTTCCTCATCTGGAATAAGAGAGTCAAGAGGCTCAAGTACTATAATGTGTAAATGCTTTGTGAAAGAGAACTCTTGAAATGGTGGTTCCTCCCGTCTCACTAGCTAGGCTATGTATACCAGATTTTATGGTCTGTTTTCACTAGACACCACATTCCCTTTGTATTATAAATTCGACTTAGAGATTTTTTTTCTTCCCCTCAAGGTTTTTGACGAGCAGAATGTCTCTTAATACGGCTCAACTAAGCTTATGCTGACTGACCAAGGGTCCTCCAAAGTTCAACATCCCTTAGCTTGGCTTTTTTTTTTTTTCTCTCTCTCTCTCTTTGGGAACCTTATTTAGAATACACTGGGCTGCTGCTAGTACCCTGAACAGTGCTGGGGTACGTGGAAGAAGAGGATATATTTTTCAGTCACCTGGTTGCCTTAATCTCTTCAAAACGTTAGAGCTAGCGTAGAGGACATCTGTAAATGGTGCGTGAAGATCATGAATTCTAGGCTCTCTCCAAAGATGAAGAGAGGGAGAGCAAGGCGGTTCAGTGGGTAAGTGCTTGCCTGGCAAGTCTAGCTGCCAGAAGCCTAAGGTGGGAAGAGAACCAAGTCTCAGACCTCCACATGTACGCCATTGGCTTCCACCCCATCGCTCTCCTGAAAAGAGAGAGAGGCTTGGGATGTAGCTCTGTTGGTAGCATGGCGAACATGCACTGGTACAGAACCCTCAGTTACAATCCAAGCGCTGCACACAGCAGAGTGCTGGAGCATGCCTGCAGTCCCTGCACCCGGGAAGCTGAGGCAGGTTTGCTGTGAAATGGTCGGCAGCTTGCTGTGACGGAAGACGGTATCAGAAAGAAGCAAGGAAAAGACAGGAAGAAGGAAGAAAGGGCTGCAATGTCGGCTCAAATAGCAGGTTTGAGACTTGCCTCAGCTGAGAAGTCCAAAACCAGCCCCAAAGGAAAAAAATAGGTATGTGAAGAACTTAAATGGACCTCTCTCGGCACTGGAGAGGCAGGGGGTGGAGCTCCATGAGTTAGGCTAGCCTGGTTTACATAGGCAAGTTTCAGGCTAGCCAGGGCACCACAGTGAGACCTCGACACCAAAAATAAATAAATAAAAGCTAAAATGGAAGTACAGTCGTTCCCCAGTGTCTATACGGGGATTCTAGGACATTGACCACATCTTAAGAAAAAAAAAATCAGGATATGCAAGTCCCTCAAATGAAAGGACACGGTACATGCACATGACCCATGCCCAGGCTCTGGTATGCTTTAAATAATCTGTAGGTTATTTAACAATGCCTAAGTTAAATGACATCACTTTTGCGTGTTTCTTCTGAGACTTGGTTGCACTCCAGTATGTAGTAGATGCTGCCCTTAAACTGATCCCCTGCCTTAGCCTAGCGGGTGCTGGGATTGCAGTTGCAAGCCTCCTTGTGAATAATTGTGCCATATTGTTTAGGAAACAATGACAAAAAAATCTGGACATGTTCAGTACACATACAATTTTTCCCCAAATATTTTTGATTTGTGGTTTGTTGAATGCATGGGTGTGGAATATATATATGTGTGTGTGCGTGCGTGTGTGTGTGTGTGTGTGTGTGTATGTGTGTGCACATGCAACTACACATAAAATAGAAAATCAAACCCAGGGCCTTGTACATGGAGACAAATGTTGTTGGGGGTTTTTACTCTTTTGAAGGGCCCACCACCCAGCTCCCAAATAAATACACACACAGAGGCTTATTGTTAATTAAAAATACCTGGCCTTGGGCCGGGCGGTGGTGGCGCACGCCTGTAATCCCAGCACTTGGGAGGCAGAGGCAGGCATATCTCTGTGAGTTCGAGATCAGCCTGGTCTACAGAGCTAGTTCCAGGACAGGCTCCAAAACCACAGAGAATCCTGTCTCGAAAAACCAAAAAAAAAAAAAAAATACCTGGCCTTGGCTTGACTTATTTTTAGCCAGCTTCCCATCTACCATTTGCCTCTGGGCTTTTTCTTTTTCTTACTTCTGTATATCTTACTCCCCTCTTCCTCTGACTGGACGTGTAGCATCCTCCTCTCCTTGTTCTCTCGCTCTTCCATTCACTCAGATTTTTCCCATTTATTCTCTCCACCTGCCAGCCCCGCCTATCCTCTCTCCTGCCTTGCTATGGCAATCATATTAGACCAATCAGGTGTTTTAGACACGCAAAGTAACACAGGCTACACAGAGTTAAACAAATGCCACATACAAGAATGCGACACATCTTTGCATCATTAAACAAAGGTTCCACAGCATAAATGGATGCAACACATCTTAAAGTAATATTCCACAACAGACAAATGCTCCGTCACAGAGCCACAGCTCAGCTTTAATCTTGGGCTTCTCTGTAGGCAGCAGCAATGGACAGGTGCGTCCTCGGTGTGTCATTTAGCAGTACTTTTTTTTTTTTAGTTTTTTTTTTTTTCGAGACAGGGTTTCTCTGTAGCTTTGGTGCCTGTCCCGGAACTAGCTCTGTAGACCAGGCTGGCCTCGAACTCCCAGAGACCCGCCTGCCTCTGCCTCCTGAGTGCTGAGATTAAAGGCATGTGCCACCACCACCCAGGTATTTAGCAGTATTTTTAAGAGAATCCTGGGTGTATCATTTAGCAGTGTTTTTAAGAGAATGCTTACTTCTTTCGCTGGGAACCAAGAGCAAGCAAAGGAACTTTGTTGCAGTGAGAGCAGTCCTTGGGCCCTTCTATGAAACTTTTGCAGTTTAATCTCTACAAACCCTCCTGCCCACACATATGTTTCTCTGTGCAGCCATGGGAGTCTGGATCTCACTCTGTAGGTCACAGAGATCCACCTGCCTCTGCCTCTGGAGTGCTGGGATTAAAGGTGTGCATCACCACCACCTGGCTAAATGTTATTTCCGTTGAGGTTTTGTCTGCATGTAATGTATGTCTGTGTACCCCATGAGCACCTGATGCCTAGGGAGAGCAGAAGTGAATTTGAATTTCCTGGAGCTGGAGTTACAGTGAGCCACCCTGTGGGCGCCGGCAGTTGAACTCAGGCCCTCTGGAAAAGTGTCAGTGTTCCTAACCGCTGAGCAACCTCTCCAGTCCTCAATTTCTTTCTTTCAGGAATGGAAAGAACATATGATAATGGGTTTGTAAAGCATGTAAATACATAGGCTTAGAGTGAGCAGGTTAGCTAGGTGTGTGGTGGTCTGATGGTACCTCATGGCCCTTGGAGTCTGAGTCAGGAACATTGGGAATCAAGGCAAGTCTGGACAACACAGTCTCCCTCACCTCCCTCCCAAAGCCCCACAATTAAGTGTTCTGTAGGACATGGTGATTTGCCCAAAATAACATAGGCCACCACCAAAAATGCAATTCATTATTACTCATGAAAACTTCCTACTGGCAGATTATAATAGTGGCAATAAATTAAGGGATAATTTGCAGACGTTAGTGCTGAAAAAGAAAGTACAGACAGACATGTCCTCCTTTAAGTTCAATTCTGGAATCTGCTCGGTGGATTTTTGTTTTCGTTCTTTTCAGAGTCTTGTGGATCCCAGGCTGGCGTTGAATCCCTGCCCCTCCTGTCTCCCCTTCCTAGGTGCAGCTATGATGGGAGGTAGGCTGTACAAGCCACAGGATCCGCCTCCTTTCTTATTAGGAAGAGCAGAATATGACAGCAGCCTCATCCTTGGGGATCTCAGAGCTAATTTCTCAGAGGCATCC